AATTGAATCTTTTATGGGCGCTTTATTCAGATGGCTGGCGATCCGAGAAGATGGCGGATTCATACCCTAACAGACCATCTTGCCTTCTCTTCCTAGGCCAGACTTTTTATACCAGGGAATAAACTAGGTGCAGTGAGGGCTCTGAGATTCAGGGAGGATTGGGTGACAGGAGCTGCCACATTCCTGTCCTGGGCAGTTAGCTGTTCCCAGGGGCAGTGGTCCTCTGTCTCTCCCTGGAACACAAAGGTCTGGATGCATCCAGTTGTCCCCAGGCAGTAGTCTCTAGCAGTGCCCCAGGAGGTTGGCTGTTTTCCCAGGAGCCAGGACCAGCTGTATCTGTAGTGTCTGAAATAAAAGCTTTAACATACACATTACTTGCTAAACATAACTTTTTACCTTAAGCTAAAATTTTCCAAGTCTTGAATCCCCTATCACTTAGAGCAGTGTGTGGCATAAAGCGGGTACTCAGTTAACCACAGGCGCCTGCTCCGGTCCCTCGGCTCTGGCCAGCGCACCAGTACGGAGTGCTTACTTGGTGTCAAGTGCAGGGCTGGGGGAGGTGAAAAAGCACTCATCCTGAGGGTGGTCTCCTGTAATCCTCACATCATCCTGCAAGGAAATCATTCTCTCTTTTGCACAGTGGGGGAACTGACACTCCCAAACAACCTGAACGTCACGCATTCATCTGTTAAGGAACAGAGTTGAAATCCAAACCCTGCTTTGTCTGCTTTCAATACCTGGGCTAAGTGACAAGCACAGAAGCTGGTGGTGCTGGTGTGAGGACTGGCACACAGGAGGTGTGAGCCGCTCTTCCTGCTTACATGTGCAGGGACCCACGCACAGCAGGTGCCTGTGCGCATGTACACAGACACGCACACGCACACACATGCAATATTCAGGTGAGGAACTTCCCCAGTACCTGTGCCCTCTGCTAACTGTACTGCCACAATTTCTGGTCCAAAGTCACTTTCCAATAATATGATTAACAGTGGTTTCGGTAATGGCTCAAAATAAATTAATTCTTGACATGGTGAGATGCTGGGGACACTGGATCCTTCTTATTTCCAGTTGCATGAAAACAAGAGGTTTTGCTAAACCAAAACAGATCAAGCCAGAGGGGGCAGTTTGTGTTGTGCAGTCACATTCTTTTAGGAATAAATAAATGGTTTGATTGCCTCAACTTCTCTGTTTCATGGTTCCGAGTCTGGGTGGGGGATCACTAGCAGAGGGGCACACAGGGGGCTTTTGTACCTGTCGGCAGTACAGTGATGACCCTTGAAAGTAAAATAGAAAATATTTGCGAAAAACAAGCAATGACAGGATTCTCATCACAGAGCTCCACGCCAGCACATTTCACCCTGCACACAGCCTTCTCTCTTCTGACAGTAAAACGGCCTCGAATTTCCCACCGTGAGGGGAATTATTCTCACCACTCTTTTCCCCCCTCTCCTCCTCCCTCTCACTTTCTCTCTTTCTCTTTCAGGAAGAAACCCTTCAATACTGGGCCCTAGAGCACATCCAATACAGATCATCAACTTTAAAGTCAGACAAACCTGGGTTTGACTCCTGGCCATGGCAAGTTATTTAAACCATCCATGCCTCAGTTATTTCAGATGTAACATGGGCTTAAAAATAATACCCAGCATCCGTTAGTTTGAGGGGTGAATGAGCTAATGCTCATAAGGTCCTTAGCTCAGAGCCTGGCACGTAGCCCATGTACCCAAAATGTCCCTTGTCATTATCATCCACTCCAACTTCTTCATTCTGCAGACAAGGAAACTAGATTCAGAGAAAAGTGATTTATCTAAGATCAAATGGCCAGTTAGTGGTGGAGGCAAGCCTAGGTCCAGGCAGCCGATCCCAGTCCTCTTCCTGCTGGACCTCACATGGCAGAGCAGCCTCTCTTTCATTCACCAGCTTCAAGCAGAATGAGGCTGGGACATTATCCAGTTGGTCATAGTCATGCTGAGCTGATAATTCCCCAGAGCCAGAGCCAAGAGCATCCTGGATCCCTGGCTCCCCCTGATCGGGAGCCAGCTGAGTGTGAAGGGGAAGCGGCTGCTTGTGTGCTACATTGACACACTGTCTCCAGGGCTCTCCAGCCCTGATCAAGCTGATTTCCACAGAGCACTGAGCGACCGTCCTCTTAAAGTTGATTGGATGGTGTCACCACCAAAAGTTTTCAAGTGCTCTGGAAGCAAAACCTTGTGTCCAACCAGCCTCCAATCAACATCTCTGAGGGTCTCTCTGTCTCTCCAAAACCCCTCTCCCCGTACTGAGAGACTGGAGCTCTGCCCGTACTATGCCCCTGTTGGGCACAATGGTTTCTGCTGTTTGATGCCACTGGCGCCATCTGAAGACACGAGATGCTCTTGGTGACAGCCAGTTCGAGGTGCAGTCCCCGTGTTCCTGAAGACTACATGTTCTCATCCAGCCCCCTTCCCCTTTCCCATGGGCAGGTCTGACATCTTGGTGCTGCCCAAGACTCTACTGCTGTCTGTAAGTTCCCTTAATAAACTATTGGTTTAATTTTGGAGTTGCCAGCCTCTTTCTCTAGTCTCTGAGTCCCATACTCCTTTGGTGGTCAGTCCCAGTGCCCCTTGGAAAGTTTTCACAACAGCCCTGTTATTGTCCACATGGCACAGCTTTGCTCCTCCAAATGCTCCTCCCTCTCCCTTTTCTTTTCTTAAAGTACACACACACACAATCACACGTGTGCCCACAGGCTTTCGTTCCCTAGAGAAAGTATCTAAATGTCCACAACAATATTTAATTCCAGCATAGGAGGATGTAGTAACCTGCAGCCAGGGTAGATACAGCTCCTGGTGTTTCCAGGGAAAACAGAACCCATTAGTTCTGATAAATGTCCCTGCGCTCCTGCTTCTTACCTTTTCCAAATTCGACCTGACCCTGGAGCTCCTCGCAGATGATCCAGTCAGTGGCCTGGTGGCCCACAGCTGCCCAGGCCAACCAGCTGGTTTCCAAGCCTGAGCCAGCAAACCCTTTACATTTAGTAAACAGAGGTGAAGGGGTATGTGGAGGGTCTGGAAGATGGGAGAGCAGGGAGGGATCATGGTTATGCTCATTTCAACAGTTCAGTAATTATGATGACAATTCTGCAGAAAACCCACTGGGGTGAAAGTTAGGAAGCCTAGGCTATGAACCTGGCTGTGCCGCTAAACCAACCCCACACTCCGAGGCCTGTCACTTTGCCTCTGCGCCTGCGTTCTGCTCTGTTGTATGAGCCTCCGTCCGGAAGGAGTCTTCTAATGCAGGGGCTTTGCAGTGACAATCTTCAGACGTTAATACTTCTTCAAGTACTTCCCCAGGTCTTGTTTTGTGTATTTAGTCCTCCTTAAAACTCAACAGTGTAAGTGGGGTATTTGGCAAATGAAGAAATTAAGGTACCTGCTGGTTGGGCAAACCATGACCCAGCTTGGTGCTGAGATGAGTTCTTTTGACTTCCAGATACCTGTGGCCCACACTTCCCTTCTGGGCGTAGACTCTGTCCCCAACAAAAGGTCAAAGAGAAGGACTACTTGTAAGTAGACAAATGCCAAAAAGACTTTGTTCCCTTAGGGTGAGGGGTCACAGATTTGGGCTGCTCCTCAAGCCCTTTTGATGTCTTTTCAACATTTTTGTAGCCCAAGGCAGGTTTTGACTTAGCTCCAAACTCTGTCTGCTCCTTGGGCTTCAGAGATGAAAAGAGCTGGAAAGTGCTGTCGTGTGTGACAGCAGCGATGGCCTCTGCTGCCCTCATGCACAGTGTCCTGTCGCCTTGGGTCATGGTTAGAGGAAAGTGTTCCTTCCTGTCACTCTCCACCTGCACTCAAGGAAGCAAAGTCCACCCTCTGCTTAGTCAGCGGGGTGTCCACAGAGATAAGCAGACGGTGAGGGGTCTCACACAGTGCGAAACCCACCACCCACCGTGCCACCCCTACCCTTGACCGCAGTCCCACCGACAGGCAGGACCCTGCTGCCCTGTTGCGCTGTTCTGGGCTAAACCATGTCCTCTAAAATGTGTATGTTGAAGTCCTAACCCCAGTACTTCAGAATGTGACTATATTTGGTGACGGGACCTTTAAAGAGGTAATTAAGGTTAAATGACGTCCTACGTGTAGATCCTAACCCAATATAATTGGTGCCTGTCGGAATAAGAAGAGGACATTTGGACACAGACACACGCAGAGGCAAGACCATATGAGGACACATGGAGGAGAAGGTGGCCATCCACAAGCCAAGGACAGGAGCCTTGGTAGAAACCAACCCTGCTGGCACCTTGATCTTGGACTTCTAGCTTCCAGAATCATGAGAAAATTAGTGTCTATTGTTTAAGCCACCCAGAGTATGGTACTTTGTGTGGCAGTTGAGTTAACTCATACAGGCACCTGCTCCACATTGCCCCCTACCCGGCACCCCCCTGGCCCTCAAGGGCTGCCTCTGGTTTCCCCTCTGATCCTCCCCCACCCTTGGCCCCAGAGTCATCAAGTCCTTAGGATCAGAAAAACTGGCTCCACCATCCACAGCCAAATTTTCCTACTTTGGGGGGCTTTAGGGAGTGCTAGTTTCTGTTTTGAAGTTGGCTAGGGGAAGTGAACTGCCCTTGGGCCCCGGAGGGAGTGGGGAGAGAACAGGAAACATAGACAAAACAAACTGATTAATGTTTTGAGTTAGACCTTCCCCATAGGTTGACAATTGAGCTTCCACCCCTCAAGGGTCTTCAAACAGACTCAAAGTAACAGCCAGTGTCGGGGCAAGGATTTCCCACAACTAATACAGAGCTTCTTGGGGTCAGGGCGGATGCCAAAGACTCTGGGAGACACTGAACCTTAGACAACCTTCTTACTCTTAGCACAGATCTCCAAGTCCCACCCCAGATCCACCCATCCCCACCCCTGCTGGAGTGAAAGGCACCGAGGGGTGGAGGGGGAACGCCCCGTCACACTGTTTGCTCTGGGCCTGGCTATTGATTCCAGAGGCCTTATCACTGTGCCCTCAGACTGAGCTGGGCAGGTCTGCATTAAGGAGACTTGGTCCCACTGCCCTGTGGGACAGAGGAGAGGAGAGGCAGAAGGCGGGCCGTGGCAGATCGAGAAAGGAGCTGCTGGGTGTACAATGAAAACACTTGTTCTTTTGCTGCTGGTGCTCCTGGACCTGGGGCAGGCCCAAGGGGACATGCACAGGTAAGACCATGTCCTGAGCACTGTGCCCAGCTGGGGCCCCAGGACTGACTCGGGAGAGGAAAGCTGATGGGGAAACAAAGAGGAGAAGAAACTGAGGGAGGGCTCAGAAACGTTTACCAAGTGGCCACCTAGTGTCCAGCCCGTGACAAGCCAGCCCTTGGCCTCCATCTCTGACGGAGCTGCCTGTCTGAGCCCCAGGGACTTTCTCAGGTTGGAAACATCAGGAACCTGCAGTGTGAACTGCAATCCAAAGGAGCTGAGTACTTCCCCAGGGACTGACCACTACCCTCCAGAGTTTTTCTGTGCCTTTAAATAAGCCCTTCATGAAGTTCATATAAAACTGCAGACCATTCCACACCTCCCATTTTTTTAGAGCCCATCTCCCAGATAGAGGGCCGTTTCAAGTCTAAGAGTCTCAGAGCCTACAGGAGCAGACACGAGACTGGGCAGGCTATGGGCAGAGCGGGCACTGATTCTGGCCAAATCCTGGCATGCTATTTTGTGGATCCCCTCCTGCGAAATCTCCCAGTTAACCTCTGGGAAAATGGGGTTGGGGCGGAGAGGGGCGGAGAGAGGCAGAAATGCATCTCTTCCTCATTTATGGCTTTGTCCTCAGGGTGCCCCTCTGGAAGCATCAGTCCCTCCGAAAGAAGCTGCGAGCGCGGGGCCAGCTCTCTGAGTTCTGGAAATCCCAGAGTTTGGACATGATCCAGTTCACTGAGTCCTGCACGATGGATCAGAGTGTCAACGAGCCCCTCATCAATTACCTGGATGTGAGGCATCCTGGGGCAGAGCCTGGGAGCAGGCAGAGGGCAAGAGGGCTCAGCCTGGGTCCTGGCTAGTGGGCAGCAGCACTGAGCACTAGTGCGGATTTCTCCTTTAGAAGGACGCATATGGACTGACCCTCTGGGTTCCTGTGGATTTGGCTGAATAAGCCCCAATGCATCTAAGTTGTGTGGACCTCTCCCCATGGGAGGAGAGATGAGCAGGGCAAGGCTCCTCTGTGTCTTTCACAATGATTCTCATTATAATGAGAAGCGGGATAGAGATTTTATTTTTTCCCTCTCAATCCTTCCCCTGTTCCTTTTACCTCTGATTGTCCCTTCCCAGGGTCTATGAGTCCATCTGTGCTAGCCAAGGACGGCCCCGCGGAGCTCTCCCTGGGAACCTCACTCCTCCCCAGCACCAACACTCAGCTCCTTTCCCTCTCCTGCCTATAGATGGAATACTTTGGCACCATCTCCATTGGCTCCCCACCACAGAACTTCACCGTCATCTTTGACACCGGCTCCTCCAACCTCTGGGTCCCCTCTGTGTACTGCACCAGCCCAGCCTGTAGTAAGTGTGCCAGGACCCCCCACAGGGAACTGCTGAGGCCAGTCCTGGGACCCTGAGCCTGGTGCTCTCGGGGAAGGGGTTGGGTTCCAGTAATGGGCCAACCCTCCTCTCTATCTCTGCGTCTTCCTGGGGCTGCCTTCAGCAGAAACAGGGCCGGGTCAGGAAGAAAGGTAACAATTTGACTGTTATCCAAGCTAGCAACTTTCACACGGATCAGAATCGGTAGAGGGAAACTCCACCACCGAAAATACAAATTTTTGAGTGCATGGCGACTCTCTCCCTTTAGAGCACCCTAAAGAATGTGGGAGACAGTTCCATGCCAGTGGCTATTTCCAGGCAGGTAGGTGGGTCAAATTCCAGTGCAGACTGTTCACCTGCTTCAGGGAGAGACCTGGTGAGCTACCTCCCAGTACACCAGAGGTGGGCTGGTGGGACACGGTGTGTGGTAGGTCCACTTGGCAAAGGTGACTCGGAGGTCTTTGTGAAGGCTGGAAAAGAAAGAACTAAGGGAAAGTGTCTCAGTCTGTGCAGGACAAGTTTTAGAGACAGAATATCTCAGGTTTATTCTGACAGAATAAACGCCAAGACTAGGTATCCATGGGTTGGTCAAGGGGTTGGGAGTGATTTCCTGGAGTGGCAATTGTTTATTCCTGAGTTTCCTTTGAATGCCAGGCTCTGCCCCACCATGGTTTGCACAGGCTGCTGCTAGTGCCTGATACCTGGTGTTTACTTTGGTGTGCCGCGTGAGGTCGCAGGCAGTTATGTTTGCCCGGGGACAACTACGTGGCCCCCTATTAGCCCACCACATACATAGAGGGGAAGGTAGTAGCTCACTGGGGGGGCATGGCCAACCTTTCCAGAGGTCCCTGATCGTCACTGTGTCCTCAGACTGGCACGGGCAGGTCTGCATCAGGGAGGTTTGGTGCCTACTGCCCTGTGGACAGAGGAAAGGACCGGTGGCAGGAAAAGCGAGGCAGGTTGGGCCAACAGCGGGAAGGTGGTGGTGTCAGGGCCAGGATGAGGGCTGGGAGCTGATGGCCTAGGCAACAGCGGTGCTCTTGCTTTCCAGAGACACACGCCAGGTTCCACCCTTCCTGGTCCAACACGTACAGTGCGACGGGGAGACATTTCTTCATTCAGTATGGGACTGGCAGCTTGTCTGGGGTCATCGGAGCCGACCACGTCTCTGTGAGTGTGATCCCTTCATGTTTCCTTTCTTGGTCAGAAACTGGGGGCAGACATTGTTCAGAGATCTTAGGGGACAGCCTCAGATCTGCCCGAGCAGAGGTGGAAACAAGGGGCTGTCTTCCAGGGAAGGGGAGGCCTGGCCAACGGCAGGTAGTGCTCCCTGCCCGCGGTGGCGGCAGTGGGTTGGTCTGCTCAGTGCGCTGGGTCCTGGAGAGGTGGCCAGGGCGATTCCTGCAGGGACAGTGTACAGCTCTGAGAGCCCAATGGCCATGTTCACAGCTGGACTTCTGGCCCCAGGGGCACCAAGGAGACAACACGAGGCCTCTATTTCGAAAAACAAAGAAGTCCAAGCCAGGGCTCAAGGTGGGAACCTCAGTTACTGAAATAGGGCAACAAGGTAGGAGGTGGGAGTCTCGTAATGGAAACAAGCCAGAATACTAGTGGTCAAAACAAAGGTCTAAGGTTAGTGCTGAACTTGAAGCTGAGCTCATGAACTGCTCCTTAAACTCCCTGTGACCAAAGGTCTTAGGAGTCTCAGACTTCGGGGGGCTGACCAATGTGGGGACAGAGAACCAGGGGAGCCCTGGCCCTGCCCTACCCAGTTTACAGACACAGTGCAGTGGTCTCCCTGACCCATGGTTTCGCTTCCTGTGGTTGTAGTTATTCTCAGCCAACCACGCTCTGAAAATACTGAATGAAAAACTCCAGATAAAAACCATTTGTAAGTTTTGGGTTTTTTTCCTGTCTTTTACTCCCATCCCAGCTCACCCACCCATTTGTAAGTTCTAAACTGCATGGCAATCTGAGTAGCACAATGAAATCTTCAGGCCCATCCAGGACGTGAGTTTTTCCTTTGTCCAGTATGTACACAATGTACCCACTCACTGCCCACTAGACACTTAGTCACTTAGTTGCAAACTCAATGATCAGATCAGCTATCAAAGAAAGAGAGACCACAACTAAGTAACTTCTATTTTAGTATATTGTTTTGTTCTATTTTATCATTAGTTATTGTTAATTTCCTACCGTGCCTAATTTATAAATTAAACATTATCATAGATATGTATAGAAAAAACAGTATAGAATAGGGTTCGGTATTATCCTCAGTTTCAGGTATCCACTGGGGGGTCTTGAAATGGGATGACTGTATACACCCAGGCCTTTGAGGAAATAGAGGCAGACCCACTCTGATGAGCATGGGTGCAGCCAGGCCCGGGCTTCATCAACATCCCTTTAAAAAAAAAGATTCTGGCCAGCAACCTGGCCACGTACCCTGACTGGGAATCGAACCAGAGACCTTTCAGTTTGTAGGCCAGCACTCACTCCACTGAGACACACCAGCCAGGGCATCAACATCCCTTTAAAGTGAGAGGGAACAGGACATATGGAGCGGAAAAAAAAAGTGCCAGGAGCAAAAAACACACCATTTATGTAAACATTATCACACAGATAAAGTGATACACTGTATTTTCTATTAGAACATATGTAAAAGTACAAATAACTGTTTAGAAGGCTATATCACATTCCAAACTGATCATAATAATTGCCTCTGGGAAGCAGAGGAGGGACGGAAATGGCACGTGAAGGGGAATTTTAGCCTTTCGCTTGCTGCTTATCTGCTGGCTCGTGTAGGGCAACAGCCAAGCCCACAGAAACTCCTGCTTCCGAAGGTTCCTCCTTCACGTTTCCTGGCTCCTGGGACAGCTGCATGTTTACTCTGTAACAGAGAGGGTCAGCTCAAGCTGCAGGACACACCCACCATTGAGGCTTAGAAGCAGCAAGACGACACTGTGGTTTCCAGTCCACCCTTCTCCCACCTGGCATCTGTCTTTCCTCACTGACTGTCAAACTAGACTTCAGGTTGCAGCGCCAGGACAAAAGCAAATTCCTAATGGACACTCCAACCAGCACCTGCATTGGCATACAGGCCACTATCTAGAAAACCACCTTTTTTATATACAGCTCCTAGTGGTGCTGCTTCTCTTCTCAACCCTGACTAACACTGATGATGAAGACAGGACCTGCCAAAAATTGTGGGTGCAGCTAATGCAATCCTCAATGAGACAATTGTAGCCTAAAATGCATGTACCAGAAGAGCTGAAAATCGATGATCTAAAGCATCTATTTTAAGCAATAAACAAGAAAAAAAGCAAGCAGCCCACAAAAAAAAACAGCAAATCAGGCTAAAAAAAGGAAGAAGGAAGGAAATAATAAATAGAAGAATGGGATGTCAATAAAATAGAAAGTCATACAATAGAGAAAATCAAAAAAGCCAAGGATTAACTCTTTACACAGATTAATGAAAGCCATAAACCTCTAGCAGAATTAATCAGGAAAAAAGAAAATGCAACTTAACAATATTAGAAATGAAGAATAACGTATTGCACATGAGGTGTGCACTTTGAGTGCCCAGCTTGTGTGATCGGGGAGGCTGTGACACTGGACCCTGCAGAATGCCTACTATATTAGGTCACTCTACAAAGCCTGGGAGACATAGCAGCTCTACCTAATACACAGAAATAGCACAGAGAGGTTGCCAAAATGAGAAGATAGCCCTGGCTGGTGCGGCTCAGTGGGCTGTGTGCCAGTCTGTGATCCGAAACATCACCGGTTCAATTCCCAGTCAGGGCACATTTCTGGGTTGTGAGCCAGGTACCCAGGTGGGAGTGTGTGAGAAGCAGCCAATTGTTTCTCTGGCACATCAATGTTTCTCTCCCTCTCTTTCTCCCCACCTTCCCCTCTCTCTAAAAGTAAATAAATAAAATCTGTAAAAAAAATGAGGAGACAAAGAAACATGTCGCAAATGAAAGAACAGAACAAAACTCCAGAAAAAGAACTGAAAGAAAATGGAGAGAAGAAATCTACTAGATGCAGAGTACAAAACACTGGTTATATGAATGCTCAATGAAGTTGAGAACTTCAACAGCATAATAAAGGACATGGAAATCATACAAAACAACCATTCAGCCCTGGCTGGTGTGGCTCAGTGGATTGAGTGCCAGCCTGTGACCCAACAGGTTACCAGTTCAACTCCTGGTCAGGGCACAGGCCTGGGTTGCAGGCCAGGTACGCAGTTGAGGGTGTGGAAGAGGCTCACATTGATGTTTCTCTCCCTCTTTCTCCTTTCCTTCCCCCTCTATAGAAATAAATAAAGTCTTTAAAAAAATAATGTATTAATGAAGACCCTGCAGACATTAAAATGATGAGAGGATATCAAGAATAATTTTATATTAATAAACAACATTTTTTAAAAAAATTGACAAATGGCTTAAGAAATACAGCATGCCAAAACTAACATGAGAAATAAATAAAAATATGAATATTCCAATGTCTATTTAAATATTGACTGTTATTAAAAACCTTTCCACAAAGAAAACTCCGGGCCCAGGTAGACTCACTGGTAAATTTTTCCAAACATTTAAGGAAGAAATAGCACCAACCTTATGTAAATTCTCTCAGATAATTGATAAAGAAAGAACACTTCATAACTCATTGTGTGATGCCAACATAAATTTGACAACAAATTTGAGAAGATCATTATAAGAAATGAAAATTGCACATCAATCACTTTCTCATGAATGTAGATACAAAAGTTGTTAGCAAAATGTTACCAAATAAACCTGTGATATATAAAAGAATAAGACATCCAACCAAGAGTCACTCTTCCCCACAAATTTATCATCTTAGACAATAAAGGGAAAAAATCATATAATCTTCTGAATTAATAAAGTTTAACATCTTTGCATGACTTTTAAAAATTTTCTTAAAAAACTAGAAATATAAAATAACTTCTCAATCTGATAAAGAATATTTACAAGGAAGCCCACAGAAAACTTCATACTTAATCACAAATTATTGAGAGCCTTTTCCCTGACATCAAGAATGAGCCAAGGATGTTAACTCTCAATGCAATGGGCCCATAAAGAATGAAATTAAAGGCATTAGAATTGTAAAGCAAGAAATAACACTGTCGTTATTCAATCATGACATGAATCTATATGTAAAAATCCCAAAATATCTACTAACTATTGGGACTTTTTGTTGTTGTTGTTCAAGTACAGCTGTCTGCATTCCCACCACCATCACTCCAGGAAAATCTCAGACATGCCATGCAACAATATTTTCACTGATATGTCCCCTAGAGCAAGGAACATAAAGGAAAGAATAAACAAATGGGATCTCATCAAAATAAAAAGCTTCTGCATGGCTAAAGAAAACAGCATTAAAATGAAAAGAGAACCAATTGTATGGGAAAAACTGACTATTGGGATTAATAAGTTAATTTAACAAAGTTGCTGGATACTAGATCAACATACAAAATCATTCAAATTTCTATATATTAGGAAAAACAAGTGAAAATAGATTTTTAATGAAATTATAATATCAAAAACATAGAATACCTAGAAATAAATGTAATAAAATAATATGAGACCTCTACTCTAAAAACTGCAAAACATTATTAAGTAAAATTAAGAAAAATCTACATAAATCAAAAGGTAAACCAAGCTTATGACTCAGTATTATAAATAAGTCAATTTTTTCAACTGGGGAATGAGCTAGACTGCACAACCCAGGGTTCCAGTGCAGGAAACTAAAGCCTCAAAACCTCTGGCTGTAAAAATCTGCAGAGGTTGCAGTGGTGGGAGAAACTCCCAGCTTCACAGGAAAGTTCACTGGAGAGACCTGCAGGGTCCTGGAATGCACACAAATGCACCCACCAGGGAATCAGTGCCAGAAGGGCCCAATTTGCTTGTGGGTAGTGGGGGAAGTGACTGAAAGCCTGTGGAGAGCCAAGCAAGTGCCATTGTTCCCTCTTGGAACCCACCACATACAGAGCCAGAACGCAGCAACTCCAGTTGCCCCACCCTGGGGAAACCTAAGGCTCCACCCTTTACAATATGACAGGTGCACTGAGACAAACAAATATGGGCCGAATAAAAGAACAGATCAAAGCTCCAAAAATAGTACTAAGTGATGAACAGACAGCTCAGAGAGTCCCAGAGAAGTTGGGCCCAAGGAAGCATGCACTAACGCACATCATAGTTACATTACCCAAGATTAAAGAAAAGGAGAGAATCTTAAAAGCAGCAAGAGAAAAGGAGACAGTAACCTACAAAGGAGTTCCCATAAGACTATCAGCTGATTTCTCAAAAGAAATTTTGCAGGCAAGAAGGGGCTGGAAAGAAGTATTACAAGTCAGGAAAGGCAAGGATCTACAACCAAAATTACTCTATCCAACAAAGCTATTATTTAGAATGGAAGGGCAGATAAAAGGCTTCCCAGATAACGCCAAGTTAAAGGAGTTCATCACCACCAAGTTTTATTATATGAAATGTTAAAGGGACTTATCTAAGAAAAAGAAGATCAAAACTATGAACAGTAAAATGACAACAAACTCAAAACTATCAACAACTGAACCTAAAAAATAAACCAAAACCAAAAACAAACTAACAAACAACTAGAAGAGGAACAGAATCACAGAACTGGAGATCACATGGAGGGTTATCAGCAGGGAGGGGGAGAGGGGAGAAAAGGGAAAAGGTACAGGGAGTAGGAAGCATAAATGGTAGATACAAAATAGACAGAAAGAGGTTGAGACTAGTATAGGAAATGGAGAGGCCAAAGAACTTATATGCATGACCCATGGACCTGAACTGGGGCTGGGGGGAGTGGAAATGCTGATGGGTGGAGGGGTAAAGGGTGAAGGGGAATAATGGGGAGAAAAAATGGGACAACTGTAATAGCATAATCAATAAAATATATTTAAAAACAAAAAACTGACAAGCTAATTCTAAAATGTATATGAATATGTAATCAAAACAATCTAGGTGAAGAAAAACACTGCCAACTATTGAGACTTACTGTAAAGATATACTAGTTTAGATAGTGTGGCACTGGCACAGGATAAGCAAACAGACAAATGGACCAGAGGAGAAAATTCGGAGACTACTCACACAGTCACCTGGCACTGAACACGATGCTACAGTGGGGACAATGATGGTATGTTTATTAAATGGCACTGAGCCATCTGGGTATCCATATAGTAAAAAATGAAATGAATCTTGCCTCCTACCTCACTCACACACTGTAGAGCTGCTCATAGACTATAGACATAAATGTAAAAAGTAAAACCTTTGAAAACAAGGCATAGGAAAAAAAGATAGACAAAAATTTCTGAAACGAGTTACTAAAACCACAAATTAAAAAGGGCATATGATTGATAAATTTGGCTATATTGAAATTCTTATCTTCTGTTCAGCAAAAAACACCAGTCACAGCCCAGAGGTGTTCATAATACACATATCCAACTAAGGACTCGATACCAGAACAGATAAAGAACTCCTACCAATCAGTAAGAGAAATGCAGACAACCTACCTCACCAGAGAAGACACCCAATGTCCAATTTCACTAGTAATCAGAAGTGAAATGAAAACTGAATGTTCCCACTGCATATCCACTAGAAGACTGAAATGGAAGACAACATCTGGTGCTGGAGAAGATAGGGAGCGGCTGGCAACTAGAACTCTTAAAATACTGGTATTGAAAACATCAGTTGGTACAAACCATTTTGGGAAATTCTGTCAGTATTTACTCAATTCTGTCAGCATGTATGCATACCCTATGGTCTAACAATTTTACTCCTAGACATATATGCAACAGAAATATGTACACGTGTTCACCCAAAGACATTTACAAACTGCGTTATTAGCAATAGTCAAGTACAGGAAATAACCCAAACATCCATCAGAAAGAATGCATACCATAGTGACAGCATATTCACAGTGTGGAATAAGATGACAATAAATGAATTAGGACAGCTGCAACAAGCATAATGTTGAGTGACAGAGCCAGACGCCAAAGAATTCATACTGTATGATTCCATTTATATAAAGTTCAAAAATAGGCGAAGCCAACACAGGCTGTTAGAAACCAGGAGGTTAGTCAGTCCTGAGGAACGGTGCAATGATAAAGCAGGTACAGGAAGGAGCTTCCTGGAGGCGGTGACATTTTGTTTCTCAGTTTGGGAGCTTGCTCACATGGATGAGTACAGTTTATGAGAACTCATTAACTTGCACACTTATGATTTCTGTCTATACTTGGCCTGCAAACCAAACAACTGTGGTTCAAATCCCAGTCAGGGCACATGCCTGGGTTGCAGGCCAGTTCTTAGCAGGGGACCCATGAGAAGCAACCAAACATTGATATTTCTCTCCCTCTCTCCTTCCCTTCCCCTCTAAAGATAAATAAATAAAATATTTTTTAAAAACCTAAAAAATTGAATTTGACTATGGCAAAAATCATTGTATCCCTTTAATCAAGAAACCTTGAGTTGGAGAATAATTAGCTTTAGGACAGAGAGAGAATCCAGGAACCTGAGACCCTTTTGCAAAGATCTCCTATGCACATTTCCTTTGGGTTTTCTCCTATCAGGTAGAAGGACTGACTGTGGTCGGCCAGCAGTTTGGGGAGAGTGTCACAGAGCCTGGCCAGACCTTCGTGAAAGCAGAATTTGATGGAATTCTGGGCCTGGGATACCCCTCCTTGGCTGTTGGAGGGGTTACGCCAGTGTTCGACAACATGATGACCCAGAACCTGGTGGATGTACCCATGTTTTCTGTCTACATGAGTAGGTAAGTCCCATTAAGACTTAGTCCGGCTAAGGTGAATTATCTCTCCAGGGAGACAACTTGGTGCAGTTGAAAGAGCACGAGATGTAGCAGTCACCTTATCTGGGTTAGCTGTCTTATTTGGCCAGCTGTGTGATTTGGGGCAAAACGCTTAACCTCTCTGACTATTGAGGAAATGGGATTGCCTCAAACAGTCCTTGTGAAAAGCACTTTGTAAACTGTAGCACACCGGACTGATTTAAGGAATCTCTGGAGTTGGATATTTATGTATGTGGTGAATAAATATTTCTCAAGCCCCTGTTATATGCTGAGCATAATTTAGGTGCCAGGAAAACAATGAAGCAAGAAGGGGATAGGACAATCTCTGTCCTCAAGAAGCTTAATTCCAGTGGGGAGAGGCAGGAAAATGTAAAGTAAGTGGACAATAAAACTATTGCAAGTTAATGGATGGATAAACAAAACATGGTATATGCGAACAATAGAATATACTGAGACTTAAAAAGAAATTCAGACACATGCTACAACATGGATGAATCTTGAGGACTTCATGCTATGTGAACCAAGCTCATCACAAAAGGACCACTTGTATGATTTCACTTATATGAAGTACCGAGAGTGGTCAAATTCAGAGAAATAGAAAGTAGAACGGTGGTTGCCAGGGGTGGGGGGAGGGGGAAATGGGAAGTTACTGAATGGTTATAGAGTTTTGGTTTTACAGCATGAAAAGGTTCTAGAGACTGGCCGCACGACAGTGTGAACGTGTCACGAGCATGTGTTCGTGATATATAGTCTTTCCTGTAAGTCGACCAGTCAGCTGCTCCGCTAGCTGCCTGCCCAGCAGCCCGGCACCAAGGAATAGACAAGAGTCGCACACAGTAACTATGCTATTTTCTCAGCTTTTATTGAATGCGGGGTCACTCAAAGGAGAACATCACCATACATTAATATTCCACTCACACTACAACAATCTAAAAGAAACACACACACACACACACACACACACAGCAATCAATGGGGAATAGCAAACCTGAGTCCAAGTCTCAGTCTGCAGGTCCAGGAGACAGCACAGTTGGGCAAAGGAGTTGTCAGCATCTTGCAAGGAAGGATCTCCAGAGCCAGGTGGACAGCAGGGCAGAGGCTCTGATGGCCAGTGCCAAGGGAGATCAACGTGGCGTGGAACAACACTCTGGTGTGTGGAGCTCAGCCATCTCAGCAGTGGTCTGGAGCCAAGGTATAACTCTCAGTTATACCTTGAGAGTGGTGGACTCTGCCCTTCTGGGTCTTGTCTTGGCACCCCTGATGCCAAGTGGAGAATTTGTTCAGGGACCTATGGGCGGTTCATGGCTGTTCTGCTTGGCACTCCTGCTGACCGTGTGGAATTTCCCAGGAGCCTATCTATGTGGGGGTCCTGCTCTGCAGACATGGCTACTCTGACCACGTGGGCAGCTCTGTCTCCATGCCAGACGTGTATGCTCTGACTTAGGTAGTTTTCCTCTTAAACCAAAGTGTCATGCCTGACTGAGAGCCATTTTAGTTGATATAAATGACTCCACTTTGTTTTATTTACTTTATGCTATCTTGATCGGTCCTGCACTCCCCAAAATATGCTTAACACTACTAAGCTGTACACTTAAAATGATTAAGATGGTAAATGTTATGTTATGTGTATTTTAAATTGCATGCTGTAATTTTGGTTAAGGTCATGAGACTCACCTGCTTCTGGGCACTTTTACCTGGGGTCCTGAGGGTGGGGGCATGGTTTGTCTCATCTGTGTAGGGAAGGAGATTTCTTACCTTTCTGACTCATTCCCAGTGAGTCCTGGCCTGAGCTTCCCATCTTAACAGAAGCCCACGTCCTTTGTTTTTCTTTCCCACATGGACAGCCTTAAATTCCCTCTCCCAAATTCTTCCTCTTCAGCATGGCTGCAGCTGAGACAGGCCCGGGCAGAACTGTGAGTAAGAGCAGGTTGTCTAGACTACCCCGCTTCCCCTGTCAGAGCCTCTGGCTCCCTTCCAGCCTGGGAGGACATGCGCTCTGAAGGGAAACAGCAGAGGCTTTGCAGTCACACTGACCTGGATTTAAAACCCACCACTGACATTACTTCATCTCCCTGAAACTCTGTGTCCTCAATGGACACCAGGTTGTCCTGGTGTGAAAAAGGAATAAGATTAGGCAGGTAAAATTCCTTAGCACAGCACCTTCTGTGCATAAAGGCCATCAACAAACATTAGTTCTTTCTCCCTTTGCCTCTCTAAAATCGCTTTCTTAAGATTCCCACAGACACCCGGTTCTCTTCTCCTTCACCACCCTGCCTTGCAGTGCCCCAAGTTTTGTTTTTCTGATTCTTTTCCTCCTGAAAATGAATTAGTTTTATGTCCTATTGCCCCACAGTCCTGTAGGTGTCATAATATAATCTGAGAAGTCACCAATAAAAATGAATAACTATTCAAGCTCTAAAAAAATCATGGGTTCACATTAGTGTCTTTGCCTTAACACAAGAGAGTGAATAATGTGGAGACAAACTCCACGCACCACCACAACCGTGGAGAAGCGACTTGGGAAAAAGGTGTCTTTTGCAGGTGCCTCCAGTCGCACAAGGTGTGCACACTCAGGTGGGTCCTGGCCTTGGCTCTGCCTGAGTTCTGCACGGCAAGACCAATTGTGTCCACCTCTCACCTCAGTACCCTGTTTATGCAAGAAGCAGGAGGACATTCATAAAACACGGGGCAGAGCTGTCTCTATTCTTTTGCCCAAAAGGTCCAGACAAATCAACTCACAGTAGTTGGAAGCCCTGGTCTCAAGGCCTGGGCTTATATTTCTGCCTCTCTAGGTACTTGGTGGGAGTGACCAGACCAAGAGACAGAAACTCCCTCCTGCGGTTTTCTGGTGGCCCTTCCCTGGCAGTCTGCCTTTCTCTCTCTGCAGTGACCCAGAAGGTGGAGCAGGGGGCGAGCTGATTTTTGGAGGCTATGACCACTCCCATTTCTCAGGGAGTCTGAACTGGGTCCCAGTCACCAAGCAAGGCTACTGGCAGATCACACTGGACACGTGAGTATCGTCCACAAGTACAATATTGAGGGAAGGACTCGAAACAGACACAACTCAAACTAGATTTACTGAATTGATCCGAATAAAAGTGCCGGTCACTGGGAGAAGGTGTGCAGGGTGAGGCGCAAGGGTGCTGAGCAGAGGCACGGGCAGGGGTATCAGTAGTCGGGGTGACAGGCGCTCAGTGCTGAGGTCCGGCCTTCCTCCTTGTACATTCATTGCACCTTCAACTCAACCGATAGTAAATACAAACACTCAACCAGCTGCTCCTTGTTCACTCAACATTAATTCACACACAGACAAGGGCTGAGTGAAATGGGGGTGCAAAAGTGAAAGAGTCCAGTTTTTGCCTTCACAAAGGATGTACGGAGGATGAGACATCCATACAAACCAGCACATATAAAGAGGAAGGTGGTCAGAGCTCCATGAGATGTGCCACCAAAGTGTCCCAGCAGACAGGGCAAGACAGCTTCTCTCTGAAGAAATACTCAGGGGTTTCATGAAGGTGGCAGCGCTGACTGAGCCTTCATACACTCACATACACACACACACACACACGCACGCATGCGCATCTGTGCACAGAGCAATTGAGGAAGTGGGGCTAGATGCCTGACATATTCCTGGCACTGCATGAGACAATGCAGGAATTCAAAGAAATGTAATTCAAGTGTCGATTCAGCCGGGAATAAGTTCCTACGAGGTGCCAGGTGAAGTGCTAGACATTAGGGATACAAAAGCAAAAAGCCCCAATGTTCACTGTCTAGTAGGGTTTTTCAAACCATAGAGCTTTACCTAGTTATGGGTTATAACATCATTTTACGGGATCATGACTTGTAATTTTTAATAAAATGGAGTAAAATAGAAAACAGCAGAGTGTTTTCACTTCACATATTAAGGTCAAGCACTGTTTCATGAAATGTTTATTGCATGTGTGTAGGTATTTCCCGCTATGAATCTCAGCCAAACAATTTTGAGAAACATGCATGTGAAGAGACCAACCTGGAAACCGCTGGTGTGCTTTGTGTGTCAGAGAACCCAGCAGGGCACGAGCTGCCGGGGAGCCAGGGGCAGCCTGGGGGCTGGGGACGGGGGCAAGCGGAGGAGGGGTGGGGGGCTGACGATGCTTCCTTTGCCCTCAGAATCCAGGTGGGGAGCACCACGATGTTCTGCTCAGAAGGCTGCCAGGCCATTGTGGACACAGGAACCTCCCTCCTCACAGGCCCCTCAGGTGACATCAGGCAGCTGCAGAAGGCCATTGGGGCCAAGCCCGTGGATGGAGAAGTGAGCACCTGCCTGGTGTGGGGAGGGGTGGGAGCAGGGGCCTGGGCCTCCCTTGGGAGGTGGGAGATTTCTAAATTGATACTCTGCTGTCTTTTAGTATGCTGTGGAGTGTGACAATCTCAATGTCATGCCGGATGTCATCTTCACCATCAATGGAGTCCCCTACATCCTTCAACCAACTGCCTACACCCTGGTGGTAAGAACAGTCTCCTCACTTGGGTGGTAAACACACAATACAATACACAGATGATGTGTTATAGAATTATACACCTGAAATCTATGTAATTTTATTAAACAATATCACTCCAATAAATTCAATTTTTTTAAAAAAGAGCACACACAACACACACACACGCACAATACAGCAGAAAACAAAAGGAAAAAAAAGAACTTTCCTCATTCTGCAAGTCTCAGGGTCTTCCCCATACACCTGCCACTTCCTCCTTCGGAAAAGGCAACTGCGTTTACCCCAGCTTATCCCACGCTGACGTGGCATTTCCTCTAGGAGAGACGCAGCTGCCTGTGTGCGGTGGGAGGAACCCCGGGCTGGGTCTTTTATTTTCTGTTCTGCCACGAAGCAGCAGGAAACCTGGGACAAGCCATTCAACCACCCAAGTCCGCGAAGTCAGACTAGGGTATTGTTTTCCCATTTTATAGACCAGGATATTGAGACTCAGACAGTTCATGTTTCTAGATATGAGCTACTTGGGGGTGGGAGTTACAGAATGAGGTTATATCTCTTATAGTATATATTCAATTAAGAAAATGCCTTGTTGCAGTAGATGCACAGATATAAAAGATGAGGTCCAAAGGGAACCCCCAGGTGTTTGAGAAACCCATGACCACTTCGCATTACAGGTGGGCTGCAGTTTCAGTATCAGAGGTCTTTGGTGACACACTTTCACACACTGACATTGCCCAAAGGCACCCACAGTATCAGGGTGACTGCACCAGAGTTGAGGTGCTAAGGTGTAGACTGAGGGCTTAGGGATTTACCTACCACCCCACCCCACACCTTGGTCTCCACTGACCCCTTCCCAAAGCCACCAGATACAAACTTACAGTAGAAGTGAAAACAAATGTTTCATTTTAAAACACAGCTTCAGGTCAAGTCCCCTAAATTCCTCCAACAGAAGAGTCTGAAGCTGCCACCATGAACACCATAGAGAGGACAAGCCACACATTTCAGCTGCCAAATCCATCCATCCAAAAGCCCTTCACCACTCCGGCACCCCCTACTCTCCGTATGAGTCCCTGTTCAACCCCGCACCCTTCCCTGTACCCAATGTGGTGACGTCATCCTTCTCTACCAGCCGATTTCAATCAGAGCCACCTCAGTCCATCACAGATGCTGTAATACCTTTGCATTTTTACCCCCTTCCTCTCAAGAAGTTTCTGTAGCCCTCTGCAAATTTTCCTACTCCATCATCAACCTCAAACTTCAAGTGTTTGTTAGAAAGACCACACCTTTCTGTTAGATCCCAACTCTTTGCCAAAGTAAAAAATGTAAGGTTGTGGGGTTCCACTCTTCTCGGGAACAAGGGGTGCCTGATTGCCTTTCACCTGAAAGGATCCACTCACATGATTCTGCCCAGAACACCAGTAACAAAATAGCAGTGGCTAGCCATTTATAGAGCAATTTCTCTCCCTTAAAAAAATTAAGTTGAATCTGACTAGAAACTAAAGAAACCAGACTTTAAGTCGAGATTTTCTAATGCCAAACCTTTTGCTCCTCCAGCCATGCCTGAACTGAGGGTTTCAATGTCCCAACTGTGAAAATTGAAACCTTGGGGGGTGTAGAATAGATTAGATGAACAGCTCTCAAAACCGTAGAACGTAGAAGGTCCGGGCCCACGTCTAGGGGGCTGTTCAAACACTGGTTGAGTACACAGGCAAGCACGTATGAAGCAAGAGGAAGAACCAACCAACCAAAATTGTGAAGAGGCCATCGGAGGCCAGCGGGGTGGCCACCGCCGCCACTCGGACAGCTCTAGACAGCGCTCCTTCCTTCTTCCCTGTCCGTCACTCACTTTCTTCTTCCCACCTCCAGGACTTCGTAGACGGAATGCAGCTCTGCCTCAGTGGCTTTCAAGGTCTCGACATGCAGCCTCCATCCGGGCCCCTCTGGATCCTGGGTGACGTCTTCATTAGACAGTTTTACTCTGTCTTTGACCGTGGGAACAACCGGGTGGGGCTGGCCCGAGCCGTTCCCTAAAGAGGGGCCTTGGGTCTGTGCCTGCCTAACGCCCCGTGGAAATCCAGCTGGGCCTGTTAGGTCGGGGCATTCCTCACACCTGTCACAAAGTCATTTTTAAAAGAATGTTTTTGTTCCAAAGCCGCAAGTTGAATTAGGACCAAACAGAGCGTGAGACCACACGTTGCACACACACACACATTTACACACGCCCACCGCTTCCACCACCATCATGATAGAAGAATTAAGTGGACTGTCCATATTTCGATTGCTCTTTGCTGACATTTTGTTATGGAAATCTCCAGGCATGTATAGAAGCAGAGCTGACAGGACCAGTAAACCCCTGGGCACAACGAGCCTGCGCGTGGCCAGGGCCCTTCCAGCTGCACCGCCACCCAGCCCTCTCTCCAGCCCCACAGACCCGCATGATTTTCACGCTAATTCTTACTATCACATCGTTTATGAGTAAAGTTCATAAGAAGGACTGTGAAAAAACACTTCTTTAACTTTTTAAACGTGCAGTTAGTGTTCAAATGTTCCCTGTTGTCTCGTACATGTTTGGTCATGTTTGCAATCAATCGCCTTGCTGGTTTCAGGATTTACAAGTCCACACACACATCACAGGTATTTGAAACGTCTCTTATCTCTTTTCATCTGTAGTTGACCACATTCTGAACTTTGCTGGTTGAAACCCAGAAGTGCCAAGTGCCATGTAACATGGCTCTTTGAGCCCATCTTTCCTGTAAAATGGTAGTTAGATTTAGAGGCCTGGTTTTGTGGCAAGAACCCTTCACAGCTGGTGCTGGGCACACCGCACTGTGTCCCGTCAAGAGATCGGTAATGACTGATTGGGAGTGAGTGGCAGGGCTGGTGCGCAGGTCCCAGGGTTTCCGGCCTCAGCCATCCATGTATGGCGAGTTTCCCTTTGTGTTTTACCTCAGGGGTCAGCAGCCACCGACGATCAATGCTGGCATCCACACTGTCACTGGGGATGCAGGACAGAACTCCCTCTGATTCTGTCTTTCTGTATTTATCATCTGGAATCTTCTACTTAAAAAATAACTCTTTACTCATAGACACAGAGAACAGACAGATCATTGCCAGAGGAAAGGGGGTTGGGGGCTGGGAGAAAAGGTGATGGGACTGAGACGTGCAAACTGCTAGTTACAAAACCGTCAGAGGGGTGTAAGTACGGCTTAGGAAATGTAACCGGTAGTGTTGCGGTAACTGTGTGTGTTGCCCGGTGGGCACTGGACATATCAGGGGGCCAATTTGTAAAGTACGTGATTGTCTCACCACTATGCTGTACACCTCAAACTAGTACAAAATAACACTGAATGTAAATTATAACTGAAAATGAAATTTAAAAATAATAATAAAATAACATAGGGCAAAAAATAACTCTTATCAACTCTTTGCTCACCATGCAGTATAGCTCATACGGGGAAGGCAAATTACTTGTCTTTTCCCCCTTTATTTACCAGTTTCAGAATAATGAGAGTTCCAACTTACTGCGGTCTTTAATGCTCAGATCGCCCCCCTTTACTCAGCCAGCGGGCTCCCCTTCAAGTTCGTTTCCGTGAACTTTTGAATTCACACAATACAAAGAGTTGTCCCAGGCCCTTTTTCCAAGGAGCTCTGGTTTCCTGTAACGTGTTCATATGTTTGTTGTAAATGGAAATATTTCACAGGACAAGGGGGGATTGTAGTGAGAGAGATGACGGTATACAGAGAGAGATGACAGGTCACATAGATGACAGGTCACAGAGACGGAGAGGCTCTGAGGAGCTGCTCCCGCCTGCGGAGCCCAGGGTGCGTTGAGGAAGCCGACATGGAGAATCCGTGTCTGAGGCGCATCCCTGTTCCAGTGGGGCATGTGGCCACCAAGAAAAAACTCGTCCTCCTTTTCCTTTCTTTCATTTTTGCTCCTTTTAAAGTGAAAGTATCTTCACGTTTTTGCTTTTTATCAAATATGTGAAAGTCCTTCATGATCCTCCCCCTCAGAGACAAGCATTATTATCATTTGAAGTTGTTTGATGCTGCCCTCCTCTCTGCATATATAATCAGAACGAGGTGGGTATTGGGAAGAAAATCCTGTTCTTTCTTAAAAAAAAAAAAAGGGAATCATAGGCCACATACTTGTCTCTAAATGTTCTTTTCACCTAGCAGCAGATTCTGCGTCCGCACAGACAGCTCGGTCCTTCTCACATCTGTATGGTGTCCACTTATTGGTCAAATCCTCTCTTAATAAATGTTACATTAATTTGGAGTTTAATTCAACCCAATCCAATAAACATTTATTTTATGCCTGGCACTAAGCAAGTCTCTCTAAGCCCTAGCTGCCACTTTGGGCAATAGGGGTCACGGAAAACACACCAGGCTCACAGATGACCTGGATTCACACGTGTGCCCCGCCTCTCTCCACACTGGTGGCGTTGGCTGCTTAGCTCAGGTCTGTGAGCTCCACCTCACAGGCTGCCAGGAAAGCATCAAGGAGCTGAACCTGGTGGGAGCACTCGGCTCCTGCTAGCGTCCCTTCCCCTTTCAGTGTCATGGTCAAAGCAGATCAGGGCCACACACATACATACACCTAGTGTTTTGTTTTCATTTATATTTTTCACTGAACTATTGCTTTCAGATTTAATTAGGAACAGCCTGGTCCAAATAAGCTCTCAAAGTAGTTGTTAACAGAGGGGTTAACAGCACAGGCGCTGGAGTCGGACAGGCTCCTGACACCAGGGGGCGCCTGTGTGCCTCAGGTTCTGTGGAATGGACGTGGTAACAATAACCACCTCAGGGGTAATCAGGAGAACTCAATAACACAATGTGTGTGTGTAAACATTTAAGTAGATTATGTGCTCTGCTCCCCCAATTTGCCCTGCTGACCTACACTCACCATAGGCAGACCACATAAAAGGCTTTTGCATAGAGCAAAAAGGCTTAACAACTTCCCCTCTAAAACAAACAGGAGAGTAGGAGCCAGTCCTTAGATCATCTCTGCAGGCCAGCTCTCTCCCTGGGGTGATTTGTGTTGCTGGCCAGTGGCCTCCCTGGTGTGTTGAATGGTGGCAGTCTGGAGTATGAAAGTGACACTGACCCCCCCCCCCCCCCGGGCAAGAAGCGAAAGCACACTCCGTCCCCAGGCTGCCCTAACCAGCTCCACCCTGAGCGCCCTGGTCCCTCCAGGCAGACATGACCCTGCAGTCAGCTGGAACTTCACTGCCCCCGGCTGTGTAAACCTACTTAGCCCTTTTAGCTGCTTTGGGGTTTCCAAAACTGACCTTTGCTCGTTGTGACCTTCACGTCAGCGGTGTTAGCCCTGAAATCCAGGTCCTTGTCCCACGACTAATGACTGATCCCGGTCACACACCTCTCAGGGATGCGCCGAGGGCTTTGCCCAAGCTTCACTCTGCCATGGAAATCGTCCAAAGATGTTATATTTGTTTCCTAGGGATGCCGTAAGCAGGTACCACAAACGAGGTAGCTTAAAACAGCAGAAATGTATTGTCTCACAGCTCTGGAGGCTACAAGTCCAAGATCAAGGTGTCCACAGGCCCGTTCTGGCTCTGAAACCGAAAGGAGAGAGAAATCCTCCTTGCCCCTTTCTAGCTTTGGTGGTGGCCTTTGTCTCAGAGTGGCAACCCTTCGCTCCGTGCTTCCACGGTCACATGGTGTCACTCCCTCGTGTCTCCATCTCTGTGTCTTTGCTCCCCTTTTATAGGGACGCCAGGTACATTGGGGTGAGGCCTGCCCTATTCCAGTGCGACCTCCTGTCAATGACCTGCATTTGCCCTGACCCTGTTTTCAATAAGGCCACTCTGAGGAATGGGGGTCAGGACTTCAGCACATCTTCTCAGGGGGACGCAAGCCAGCTCACAGCAGATGCTTTGCCAACTAACTGCTCTTATATTTGACTTTTGGCTTCTTCAAGTCTTTCCAGAAGCTTTTGGTATTTTGCCTTTCTTTTTCCCCTGCCCCCCCCCAACAAATCTGTGAATTAGGCAGAATAGGTCTCATTACCCAGTTTTCTAAATGGGGAAGTTGGAGTGTAAAGCAATGGGACAGTTTGTTGGAAGCAGAAGTGACCATGGAGTCCATGTCTCCGGACTCCAGGTCCACAGCTTCTAGTTTACACTCTCCCCTCGAGCCCAGGTATTTGGCTCGGGAGATCTCTAATGCAGGGATGGCAGGTAGATTCTAGTCAGTGCCCCCAGTAACACTTACCTTGTAAAATAAAATTTCAGCTGCTGCTGAAAGGTCAATGGTTGCTGATCCCAAGAGGATCCAAACAGCTTCCTCCGGTCTGCTGCCGTCTGGAAATACTAACAGATTCCTGGGAGCCTGCTATTGTGTGGGGCTTCACTGCCTTTGAGGAGTTGTCCCTCCCCTGTTCTGTATGAGCCTGAGTCTAACCGTCCTGTCACTGCCAACATTACACCAGCCAGATTCTCTTTCCTGGCAATTGAAGGTTGGGTGGGACCCCACAGGGGGCTCGAAGCCGAGTCCCGTGTAGCAGGCACACAGAGAGACAGCGTCCAAGTCCCCCTTGCCAAGACCGCCAGGGCTATCCCGCCAAGGTCCTGCCTGGGCCTGTGGCTCATCTCTTCCTACTGCTCCTGCTCCAACAGAAGGACTCTGGCACAAGCCTCCTCCTGCACGAGGGAGACTGGGTAGGTCACTGTGAACTCTGGTCCCTTCTCTAAGTAAAGTTGGTGACCATGGCTCAGTGACCATGGCTGGGGAGCTCACAAAAGAACTTGTGTTTAGAAGGGTGGTGAGGGTAGAGAAGAGAAGAGAACACACTGAACTCCCCGCCGACCCCTGCTGTGCAAACGGCGCCGGGGCTTGGAACTCCAAGTCTGGTCCCCCGGGTCCCAGCGAGCTCCTGCTCCTCGGCTCCGACGTCTGCCTCTTGCCTTCTCAACACTTCCAGGTGGTGACGTGACACTAACTTCCGTAACAGATAAACCCTCAGATTGAAGTGGTTTAAACCAGGAAAGTTTGTTTCTCACTCCCAAAGAGTGCAGCCGGAGAGTCACAGACTCAAAGCCCCGGGCCCTTCCGTCCTGTGGAGAGAGATCCTGCAAGAGGTTTTCCCACGCCAGGCCTGAAAGAAGCTAGGGTACCGGCAGGACAGTTTCCCTTCACCAGGGGTGTCAAACTCATTTTCACCGGGGGCCTCATCAGCCTCGAGGTTGCCTTCAAAGGGCCGAATGTAATTTCAGCTCACTAACGGTTAAGAAGTACTTACATTTATACAGTCCTAAAATTATTTCGGCCCTTTGAAGGCAAGAAAGAGGCTGGTGTGGCCCCCGGTGAAAATGGGTTTCACACCCCTACCCTGATTCTTTTTGACCTAAGCTCCGTGAGGGCAGGAGCTCTGTCTTGTTCACCACCCTGTCCATCACTGAAATGTGGTCCAGGGCCACACTGGTCTACAGGGGCTGGAAGGGCCATCTAGCCGTGGTCCTCTGCCTCACAGACCTCCACCGGGATCCGCTTCTTTCTCCTGCTTCTTAGCTGTGAGTGTGTCTCAGATTCTGCCTCACCTCTCTGCTCTCTGTCTCTC